GCTAAGCAGTGAATGGTGGGTGAAAATTAGCAAAAAACCGAACGAATGTAAAAACCTTTTCGACTTTTTTGTGCAAATTGGAGATAGCAATTCGCGCAGCCAGAATCGCATAGTCGGGATGTTTGGTCATCATATCTGCCGCAGTTTCCGCTGCCAAATTGTCCAGTTCAACAGTTGTCACGCCTTTATACAGGCCGGTAATCACTTTCTGCGAGACCTCGATCTAAAAGAAAGCCATTCTAGAAACGAAGACAAATATCCGAGCCAAACATGACTAATGCATTTCACTGCAATCTGCCAAAGCCGTATAAGTAAGAAAATTACGTGATCCACTCCTTCAGGATTAAGGCCGTAGCACAACTTTTCGATGCGATGAGCAATCTTGTCAAACGAAACCGCTTCATGTCGTCCGTCTGAAATGCGCATCAATCATGGAACACAAATGAGTTTCTTCAATCTCCAAGGCATCGGGGGAAAAAAGCACTAATAGCGCGGTCTGCTGAGTACAATAATTGCTAACGCTCACTGTTTGTGACTTACTGGATACAGTCATATTAATTTCGGAGGTTCGTTTAATGAATCTGCTTTTAGCACATCCAAGTAAGTCGTGAAAGTTCTGAAATATTATTTTGGTACATATAACGCTGCCCCGAACATCTGTATTAGAAACTACAAGTTAGTTTCGAATTTGACTTCCATTATCCGCTGCAAATCTTCCTCCATCCAAAATAAACTCTTCAATTTGTTAGTTCTTTTATCCTGACAAACAAATTACCATGAAGTGGGCTGTAATGAGGCTCAACCGCAGATGCTATTTATGCATCTATCCTTAAAGGCATGGCACAAGAAGAGGCAAAATGTTTAATAAGCTGGCATCAAAAAGCGGGAAGAGAGCGGCTGTTCCGCTGAAAAACTTGGATTTTTGGCCTGAAAATCTGGAATAATCCAGAATGGATTCAGTGTCAGTTCGATTCGTTTGATAACACGTAACAAAACGTGAGTTTTTTATGCTATGCAACAGCAAAACAAAACGCAAATTATATATATATATAATTTGGGTTTTCTATATATATATTTGCGTTTTATGTATAAATACATATATATATATATACACACATATATATATATGTCCGCAGCACTTTCAACTCAGAAACCGCAAAAGCTAGGAAGCTGAAAATTTAGGGGAACGTTTCTTACCCACGTACGACCCCGCAAATTTAAATCCAACTTCCCCATTGTCGCCGGTAACACGTATGGCCCTGTAAAAGTTTGGGTGGGTAAAATTATTATCATGGGAACCACGAAAGCCAGAAGGCTGAAATTTTGTGAGCATGTCCCTGATCCATGTGTTATGCAGAAAATTTAAATTCAGCTTCCCCCTGCCGCGAGTAACATGTACAGCCTCGTGAAAATTTTGACGGGTAAATTATTATCTTGGGAACCATGGAATCCAGGAAGCTGAAATTTTAGAGTAATTACCCCGGCCCATGAAGGATCATACAATTTCAGCCTTCCCGCGCTCTTGAGTATTACCTATGGGCCAGTGAAAATTTCTGCGGGCAAATTACTTTCTTGAGAACCACGAAATCTATGAAGCTGGAATTTTAGGATAATGACCCACTGCCCACATATGACTTCTCTCAAGTAAAAATTCAGCGTTCCCACGCTCTCGGGTATCACCTACAGCCCCGTGAAAATTTTGGCGGGGAAATTATTATCTCGGAAACCATAAAAGCCAAGAAGCTGAAATTCTACAGTAATGTCTCTCGCCCACATACAGTCCCGCAAATTTAAATTCAGCCTTCTCCCATGCCTGAGTGTCACTTACGGTCCCCTGAAAGTTTCTACGAGGGAAATTATCTCGGGGACCGCGGAAGCTGGGAATCTGAAATTTTACGGTGCTCTCCTCTACCAATGTGCGACCTCGCAAATTTAGAGTCAGTCTTCACGCACCCCTGAGTACCATGTATGGCCCCATGAAAGTTTTGACAGATGGATTATTATCTTGTATGCGTGAATTTCAGTGGGAAATTCCGCAACTTAAGAAACATTCACAAGTTCAACTGTTTTTGCACAGACCAAAAGTGCAAACCAGTGAAAATCATTAGCAGGCAATCATTCGGTGAACGGAACTGCACAAAACGCAAGATCGCACCGGCTGCCCTGGAGCGCGCCGCTATTTATTATGCGTTTTGTGCTGTGTAACAGTACAAAACGCATATTGTCACGGGGTTGTTTGTGTGTGTGTGTGTCCGCAGTAACTTGTCCGCAACTTTCAACTCGGGAACCACAAAAGCTAGAAA